TAATGCTCTTTAATTTGTTCAAATTCTTAAGTATAAATAAAAAATAATTATAAAATAATAAATTTATAGTACAAACAATTATACCTTAAAAATTAATTCATTAACTTTTCTAAAATCTTTCAAAATAGATCATTGTTTAATATATAATTGTTAGACAACTCATTAGTTTCTTTAACTTATCTGTTTTTTAAAGAATTACTAACAATGATAAAAAGACCATAGGTATGACAACCTTAGACAATTACTTTGAAGACTAGTAAATGAGTGAAAAAAACATACTAATAATTATCATTATTTACTAGTTATTTTTATGTATTTTTTATTGTTAATTTGAAATATTCATTTTTCCAAATAAGCACAGTGAAATTACTACTAGAAAATTGACAATTTTAGTCCAATTGTCATGAGGCCCTACCCTGCAGAGAATTCTGGTTCCGCCAGAGTATGTATAATAGCACATCTTTAAAAAGGTAAAAAGAATTAATCATTAGAGGTATAAAATTTTATAAAAATATATATAAAAAATTATCTTCTAATCTTTTTCAAAAAAAAAAAATTCAATTTTCACAAGAAATATGAAATAATGTCACAACTATATTTATTGTTGTCCTCTCATCAGTCAAGAGTCAATTGGCAAAATCTGGGATGCTCTCGTTGAGTCTATTATTATTGTTATTATTATTATTATTGTTATTGTTATTGTTATTGGTAAGCTATCATTTTTATATTTGAATGTTCGTCCACTATCCAGAAGATGTTGTGATAATGCCAATTGGCCCAATTCATTTCTTTATTTCTTTCTCCTACTGGACAAAGGAATATACCTTGCTTCCAACTTTAAACTGTCAGATCCAAAATCCAAAGCTTGCTTAAAATGTAAGTTTACATCTCTCAAAGCTAATTAGGGTGCAAACAATTTCAACAGGCAATGCCTGCCATCCTCAAGTGAAGATTTGCTCAATACTTATGAATGGTGTGATTTGTATAGGTGTTAGTAAAATTGATGATGAAAGGTTCGGATAAACATGTAATAAATTAAAAAGTATGTTTGGCTACCTGTGAACATTTTTTATAGCGCAGAGAAACAAATTATGTGTCCATTTCAAATTGGGGAAAAGGTCAAATTAGCTCAGGAACTTTGTCGACTTGTTGCAAATCGGCTTATCATGAACTTATTCGAGAGACAAATCAACTGTCAAATTTGTTGACTTGTGG